TCTTGCTGCATTTCCCAGCTGTGCAAGCTTCTCCTCCACGTTAGTTTCCACACCCATGATGCATTTTGCCACCCTCCCATTTGATTTATGCTGTTGTTCTTTCCTGTAGACAATGTGTAAAGTCTTGGAAACTTGTTAGCAAGACTTTCTCCCTCACCCCACTCATCCCACCAAAAACTAACTCCTGCCCCTTCCCCTACATTTATTTTCAGACCATTAGTAAGCCAGCCTCTGTTATCACCAACTACCTGATTCACTCTACAGATATCCCTCCACCAAGTTGATCCAAATTGTACTCCCCCCCTCAGCATGTTATAGGTTGATTCCCCTACCCTTCCATACTTCTCACAAATGATAGTTTTCCATAATCCTTTTCCTTCCGACATTAGTCTCCCCCACCATTTTCCTAATAACGCCACATTAAACTTCCTCAAGTCCTTAACCCCCAATCCACCACACTCTTTTCCTTTACAGACTTGCCTCCAATTAACCCAATTAACCCTCTTCCCTCCCTCAGCCCCCCCCCCCACAAAAATCTTCTACGGATTTTATCAATTAAAAGAATCATACCTTTCGGGAGTAGGTACAGTGACATCCAAAACACGGGGAGGCTGGACAGTACTGAGTTAATAAGAGTTATCCGACCACCAAGAGAAAGAAACCGACCCTTCCAAGTGTGAAGCTTCTTGTTGAAGGTTTCCAGTAATGGTTTCCAGAAGGCTATTCTCCTCGGATTCCCCCCGATAGGGATGCCTAGATACTTAAACGGCATACTTCCTTTTTTGCAGCACAGCAGCCATGCCATTCTATCCAACCATTCCTCTTGTACACAGATTCCCATCAGTTGGCTTTTGTTAAAACTAACCTTAAGTCCAGAGACTATTTCAAATGCTCTCAGAATTCCTTTCATTGCTAGGACATTTTTCTCAGTAGCTTCTCCAAATAGGATTGTGTCATCTGCAAATTGAAGATGTGACAATTTCAGACCTTTGCTTCCCACTTCGACTCCCTCCAACAATCCTTTTTGAGTTGCATTGCATACCAGCCCATTTAAACCTTCTGCAATGATTAGGAATAAGAAGGGTGATAGGGGATCTCCTTGTCTAAGACCTTTTGAAACACTAAATTGCCTTGTTGGGCTACCATTGACCAGAACTGATACAAGGCTTGTTCTTAAGCACTCTCCAATCCACTTCCTCCACTTGTCACAGAATCCCATCCTCTGCATCATATATTCCAGGAATTCCCAGCTAACCTTATCATAGGCCTTTTCAAAGTCAATCTTAAACATAATTGTTTTCCTCTTCTTCTTTTTTGCTTCGTCGATCACCTCATTAGCAATCAGAACTCCATCCATCAGCTGTCTTCCACTTAAAAATGCCGTCTGTTGTTCTCCCACTTAAAAATGCCGTCTGTTGCCATGTCTTTTAAAATGGTCATGGCTAGAATTTTCAGCTCCAGTGCGTAAATTTCCAATGTATCTCTACAAAAGGGAAAGAAAAAGGAGATTTGAGTTAAAAACCAAATCACACTCACTGAAAGATAGAAGAGAAAAAGATGGAAGACTTGGAAGAAAGAGGCAGCTTAGGGAACAGATGGGGTTTTCTGACTTTCAGTTACTTTCTCTTCCTTTTCCCCTTTTTTATTCACAGTGAAAGGAAGAAGAGAACTTCGGAGAAGGAAAAAAACACCCCCATACAAATTACTATAAATCCCCTTCTATATCAAGGAAAAAGAAAACGCTATGGTTTTTTTGTAATTTTTCCCCCTCTCACCATTCGATCATCTTGCTTTTCTCTTCAACCATTGATCCGAAAACGCTCAGCATTTGACCCATTTCCCCTCTTTTCAACCCGCCGGCTCTGAGTTTCTGCAGATAAAGCAAAGGACGGGAATGAGCGGTTTAAAACGCTAGGGGTATAATGGTTAGCATAAGTTTAGATTGGGGGCATTAAATAACATTTTGCCTTTTTATTTTTTTTAAAATAAGATAATAATGCACAGAAAAAATCACTATTTATTCCGCCTAAGATTTTTATGTCATCACTTTCTAGATCCCAATATCGTTGATGAATATTTTAACACTTAAGTCTTTTGCTCATTTACTTCAAGGGTTTTTTTATCATTACTCTAAGGATATAGGGTAAAAAATTATTATTAAATAATAATTATAATTTAAAAATAAAATAAAATTTTACATTAAAAAATAACTTATTTTTAATATAAAATTAATGAATTAAAATCTAACATATGACATTTATAATTAAAATCTAAATTTAATTTTATTATTTTCTAAATAAAAAATAACAATTATTATTTAATTAATACTTCTTTTCTGTGCTCTTAAGACATAAGATGGGTTAACCTTTTGTTCTAATGCAAGTTACAACTGATGTCATTGTAATTGGTTTTCTACAGGCTGTTTAAGCTGTACATTCTTCTTGTGGCCATCACCCAGACGGCTGGAGGATTATTCCAATTGACTCGAGTGGCGGGTAGAAACAGGATCGTTGCTAATACTTTTGGATCATTTGCTTTGCTAACACTATTTGCATTAGTTGGTTTTGTCCTGTCACGAAGTATGATTACTTCTGGTAAAAAATCAATCTTTGTTTAATCAAAGACCAAATGTTAGAGTATTCTACTCATTTTTATGTTTGATAGCACAGATCAAATCAAGAAATGGTGGATATGGGGTTATCGGATTTCACCTCTGATGTATGGACAGAATGCTATGGTAGTGAATGAGTTTCTTTGGAGCAGTTGGAGACGTAATATGCTTTGGATTAATCATGAATACAAATCTGCTTTTGTTTCCTGATAATTAGCTAATGGCCTCTTTATCTTTCATTTAATGGATTCTTCCAAACTCAACAGAACCTCTTGGCATTGAAGTTCCAAAGTCTCCTGGATTCTTTACTGATGCATATTGGTATTGGCTAGGATTTGGAGCATTGCTTTGATTTACAGTGTTATTCAACTTTTGCTTTACTCTAGCTTCTGCTTTCTCAGCGGTGAGTATCTTCATCTTCTCATATTTTGCCTTCTTGAAGTAAGAACTTGCACCAGGAAAAATGCAGCAAGCATGCAGAAGCTACTCTACAGCACCACCAACTACAATAGGTCAGTGCATCTTTGTCAAAATGGTCTTACTAACCTAAGTGGTGTTTCAGGCAATCGAATTCATCGTAGTAGGATTCTAAATCTCGCTAAAATCAGTGTTTCGATATCGGCTCCTATGCCATTTGGTATCAGAGCCAACATATTTAAAGTCTGAACGTCATTCTAAGCATTTTGGTGAAAATTCGGTCACCCCGAAAGTGTTTCACGTGCCTCCACGTGCCATCACCATCATCTCACGCGCCATCCACTAGCAACTCTGCAAATCAAGTGAACATCACGCGCCAATCATTTTCAACCTTCACACTGCCACATCATCTACCACCTATCACGCTAGCTCATCACCACATCAGTGCCACATAATCATCCATTCATTGCCACATCATCTATTTGCCACGTCACACATGCCACATCAGCCACGTCACCTGCCGCATCATTGACACCTCAGCAGAACACTTGCCCTCTGTTTGCCACATCATCAAGTTCCTTAACTTATTTTGACCTTGCAAATTGGTCCCCATATTTTTATAAATTTTAAATCACCCGCACTTCTCGAAACTAACTTTCCAAAAGGTCCCTTACCAACCTAATCTCAACATGCCTTCTACAAGATCAAACTTCCAGGTGACTATGGAGTCTCTGTTATTTTCAATTTTGCTGACCTATCTTCTTACTATAAAGATCATGAGGATTGATCTCAAACTCGAGGACAAGTTTTCTCCAACCAGGGGAGAGTGCACCAGGAAAAACGCAACAAGCATGCAGAAGCTACTTTGCAGCACCACCAACTACAATAGGCTGGTGCATCTTTGTCAAAATGGCCACAAGTCAACAAAAATGACTACCCAAGTCCACGAAAATGGCTAACTCCCAACTATATTCTGCTTTTATTTATTATCTTAGTTGGATTTTACCTATAAATAGCCATGTTCCCTCCGTTGTATGCATCGGTTAATCAAGTTTCAATTCTCCTCTATTTTGAGTGAGTTTTTGAGAGTGGATTTCTCTCAAATTATCTCTGTATCTTAGGTCTTGCCAACCTAAGTGGTGTTCCAGGCAATCGAATTCATTGTAGTTGGATTCTAAATCTCACTAAAATTAGTGTTTCAGTATCGTCTACTGCGCTAGAACTCATCGTTATCTACCATTCTATACAGCATTTGAGAAGCCTCAGACTGTTATACTAGATGAACCACAAGGCAATGAACGAGCAGAGGAGAAACTAATGGAGCCATCCAATTATCAACCTACAAAAGTACCTCTAGATACAAAGTCGAAGCTGGTGGAGATCAAATTAGAAGAAGAACCACATCATCCAAGTCCTCATCTACGTTGGAGGCAGATTTTGAGGCCATCCATACAAAGAAAAGAGGGATGATTCTCCCTTTTGAGCCACATTCAATCACCTTTGATGAAATCACATATTCTGTTGACATGCCATAGGTAACAAAAATGTTCACAAATAGTAGTTACAGCTAAAAGTTAGATTCTGATTGAATTCTTGAGGGTGCATTTGGTTGAATTGAACTTTGTAGGAATTGAAAGAGCAAGGGGCTGGTGAAGATAGATTAGTGTTATTGAAGGGTGTGAGTGGTGTATTTAAACCCAGAGTTCTCATAATGGTACACATTTTGATTTAATATATTGCACAATACATGACTAAAAAATAATTATTTTCTAATATAAAATTAAAGACAGACAAACTTAAAGATACAATCATGCGCATAAGATACAAGAATCGATTGAATCGATTGTACGAATATTATATTTTTAATAACTGAATTAGATCATATCAAAAAATATATCAAATCAAGTGTATACCAATAATTTTCCCTATTAGAATTGAGATTGAGACCAATGACATTGTTTGGTTGTGGACACGGTGGGTAATAATGCATTCTTAAAACCTGAAAACCCTTTTCGAAAGTCTCCTCCATTTAGGTGGTTTCCATAACAAGTGCTTTAGCCATCTTTCTAAAGATAGTCATGGCTAGATTTTTCAATTCTAATGAGAAAAGTTCCAATGCTTCTCTGCACGAGGGAGATGAGAGTTAAAAAGGAGGAAATTAATTTACCCACAATCTTATTTTATAACAATGGAGTTTCAGTGATATGATTTTGTATTATTGACTTTTTTTAACTTAACAAGATACATAAATTAATGTATATTTAATGAACACTAATACATACATCCTATTCTGTTACACATTCCATTACACAATGATTGTTTCTGTCAATGTGTAACACAAATCGTCAGTATGTAACAGAAATTGTCAATTTTAACGATATAAATAACTGTAACTGTCAATTTTAACAACATAAGTAATGAGAATAATTAGTTTTAACAGCATAAGTAATGGAAATCATCAGTATGTAACGAAATGCGTAACTTTACAGGATGTATATATCATTTCTTATATTTAATTACTCTTTTTATGACTAACGGACTATTATGAGATTTCGTTGTAATATAACCAAAAACTAGCTCAAAGGTAAATTTGAGGGAGGCATAGGTAGAGAGGACTTGAACGGAAGTGGGGGCTTAGGGAACAGGTGGGCCTTTCTCAAATGGGGTGGTTGGGTTGTAATCAAGAAGAGATAAGCCCAATCAAGCTTTTGCTCCTCCGATACCAACAAAGAGCTGTCCAAATCCTTCTACTTCTCCTGGGTACCGCCAATATTTTTTCTTCTCTTCCATTGGGAGGTTAAAGAAACCCTGAACCTCTTTCTTTACTTTCTTCAACAGAAGAGATTGAGCTTATTCCATGATTTACCAGCGGCTGTAATCTAGAAAAATTAATAAAAGTCATGAATTTAAAAATATGCCATTAAATTGGAAAAAAAATAATAATCATTTTAAAAATAAAATCTTGAGGGGTATTTAAAATAACGAAAAAGTCTATACACTATCCTTCAATGTTTGATGATTATATAGTGGTATTACTCAATGTTTCTTATTATTCAAATAACACTGCTGCATGAAACATGACTACATCATTCATTGGCCTGAGTCCAATTAACCATTTTACAATCTAAAGGTATCAAGGTGAGATTTTCCATTAAGCTTGCTAGCAATCTTTACCCTCCAGTATTCTTCAGTGGTGATTCTCCTGAACAATGGTGGTTTCTCCTGAGAGATCAAGCTTCTTGCTGGCCCTATTTCCCCATCAGATTTTGAATTGTAAAACGTGCCAATAGAGAGCCTTTCCATTACAGAGTTAACTGTTACACGATGCTCGATGCTTCGATAAGCTCCATTTGTTACAATCTAAAAAAACACAAAAACATGACTTAATTAATAAGTGCTACCTAGCTTGTAATAGTCATTAATTTTATTTGGAATGACGAGGAAACTAAAATTCCTCTTCATCAACTACCTGGAGCTTGGAAAGGACCGACCCCACAACCATTTTTCCTAATTATTACATCAATTTTTAATTTAACTGAAAAAAGAATATGCATTTTTTATATTTATTACCTCTAAACTGTCTCCGACATTGACAATGAAGGCGTTTTGGAGAGGCTTAACCGGGACCCATTTGCCATCTTTCTTTACTTGGAGGCCTTCTACTTCATTCACATGAAGGAGGATGGTGAGAGCACTACCATCAGAATGAGGACTGAGACCAATGGCCTTGTCTGGTTGTGGGCATGGCGGGTAATAATTAATTCTTATAAACTGTAAACCCTCCTCAAAAATCTCCTCCATTTCGCTGGTTTCCATGTGAAGAGCTTTAGCCAACTTTCTTAAGATAGCCATGGCTACATTTTTCAATTCCAATGAGTAAAGTTCCAATGCTTCTCTACACGAAGAAGATGCGAGTTAAAAACTTAAGAGCAAAATAATTCACCCACGATGTTGTTTTATAACAAAGTCTCATGATCCTACATGACATAATTAATTATTAACTTTCTCTAGTTGACAGCAGCGTGTGTGAATTAGTGGACATCCACTTGTTTGATTACAAGTGATTATTATGTGTATTTCATTGTAACATAGTGTGTTTAATGTTAGTTATATATGAAACCAGAAACCAGCACAAAGATAAATTCGAGAGAGGCAGAGGTAGAGAGGACCTGAACGGAAGTGGGAGCTTAGGGAACAGATGGGGCTTTCTCAAATGGGGTGGTTGGGTTACAATGAAGAAGAGATCACCCCAATCAAGCTCTTGCTCCTCCGAGAAAACAAAAGCCTGCCCAAATCCTTCCATTTCTCCTGGGCACTGCCAGTATTTTTTCTTTTCTTCCATTGGAAGGTTAAACAAACCCTGAGCCCCTTTCTTTACATTCTCCAACATAGAAGAGCTTACTCCATGATTTACCAGCTGCAGTAATTTAATTGATAAATCACAATATTAAATAAAATAAGCCAATGAACTTAAAAAAAAAAAGGGAAAATAATTTATACACTTTTCAGTTCAATATACTTTGCAACATATTTTATAGGAAATTATTATTTTCAAATTTGAATTGAAAATGGGAAAACTTAAAAGCTGTAGATTTTTTTTTTTAAAATAGATAATGGAGAAAAGCTATAAATTTTAATTACCAAATTGGTGAGTATTAGTAGGTTTGTGAAATCAAAAAATATATCAATCATTTTCTTTTTAAAAAACCAATTTAAAAATAAAATTTTGAGAGGTATTTAAAGTAGTAAATTTGAAAAAGTGTTTTGTAATTTGAATTACAGAATTTTAGCTATTGAAAAAGACTCCATGATATTGAGGAGGAAGAATAACCTGCTGAATTTGGTGCTAAAATCTATGCTTGTGTTTCTCTTTTCTGTTTACCTTGCTTCAAAAAGTATTGTGAGGACTACTAATAAAATTTGGAGGGAGTTCCTTAGTGGTGGATGTGAGGAAAATAGGAAAGTCCATTGAGTCAGGTGGCGGATGGTTTGTAAAAGTGAAAAAGGGATTTGAGATGTTTCAGCCTTTCTTTGTTAGGTAAGTGACCGGGGAAATTGACCAAGGGTGATGAGTGTTTATGGGGTAAGTTAATTAAGGAAAAGTATGGGAATCATTGGATGCCATGGTTGAGGGAAGGTAGAGGGAATGGTTTAAATTGTTGGCGAGACATTTCTAGTTTAGAGTGTACTGGAACAGAGCAAGAGGGTAGCTACTGTCTACCCAGTGGGTTCGAGCTAACGGTTGGAGAGCTTAGTTTTTGGTGTGACGTGTGGTGCAGGGAAGGAATTCTAGCTAACATCTTTCCGAGGCCCTACCTTCTATCTGCAGGTAAGAATAACTCCATAAAACAAATGGACACATAGCAAGAAGGTAAATGGTACTGGAGCTTGACATGGAGGCGGGCTTTGCTGTCTTGGGAATTGCAAGACAAGGAGAAGTTGGACGAGCTACTGGGAAAGCTGAAGATTCAATAAGGATCAACAGAAAGACACATGGCTCTGGAGACATAACAAAGATGGGTATTACTCTTCAAAATTTGGTTACTCTTTGTTGTTAGTCTTCTCAGAACCTCACTCGCAGGCAGGTTCTTGGTAGAGCATAGAGCCATTACATAACCTTGAAGGTTTGTGGCCTTAATTGGCAACTAATCTTGGACAAGATGCCTACTTAAACTAACTTGTTTAAAAGGGGAATAATCACGAATGCTGCGGAGCTCCTTTGTTGTTTTTTCCATATAACATGTAGCAGACAGTGGACATTTATTTTTACCGTCAAGGTAACCTCACAACTATGGGATAAACGTTGTGATTGGTGGGGAATACAGCTTGTGTTGGCTGGAAAACATTTGGGATGCTATTGTTCATCATGAGGGATTTTCAATTTCTACAAAAGGGAGTATGGGTTGGGAGAAGCAATTTGGTTTGTGCTGGTTTGGACTGCGCATGGCTAACTAAGAATGACAAATTATTCAATAGGACGACGTAATCATTGAGAACATGTTGATCTTGTCCAAGTTTGATCTTTCCAGTGGTTGTCTAACAAAGGGATGGCTTTAAGGAAGGTCTTCTCAGATTGTATCTTAAATCCTCATCTATGTTGGTAAGCAGTGGATAATTAGGAACTTCCCGTTTGAGGGTCTTGTTCTGCTATATCCTATTGTATTATTGCCATGGGTTGAGTACCTTGTACTCATAAATAAAATTTTGCTTTAAAAAAAAAAAAAAAGAAGAAAGAATTAACGTATTGGCAGATGTTCCCCAGAAACTATCCACAACTAACACTTAGTTTTCTGCTTGGGTCGTTTCAATAACTAATGATAAGAGATTTATTTACCTAAGACTGAGGTTCACGGATGTTTGCTATAACATAAACCTTTATCATCTACAAATCTAAAAAATCTAGATCCGAACAAGAGTTCCTTTTCGTTTATAGATAGATCTAAAATTTTGATCTGAATAGAACCATGACAAAGGCGCAAATGGGTCCTCTAGCAGTTGTTGTAAACCTTGCCCTTTTGTAGCTATGGCTTTCACAAAAGTAACATATCTATAAAAACGTACCTGGAAGAACCCCCATTCTCTACAGGCAAAGTCGAGTTTGGTTAATTCAGCTTCCATTGATTCTTC